TTGTTTTATTTTATTGATCTATATTGGATTAGATTGGATTAATTCCCTCTTGGCTAATTAATTATTTAGTTAGTAGCAGGGCCGTTCCTGGGATTTTGGGGGCCCTAGGCGAGATTTTTTTTTTTTTTTTTTAAAACTCTTATTCAAATGATTTTTTTTTGGCCAAAAGATTTTATTATTCCATTTAAGATAGGCAAGAGGGGGCCTCGTTAAAACCTTGTGGGCGAGATTTGAAGACGGATAAAAATGGGGCCCCTTCTACAATCTACAATAAAACTTATTTTTTTTATAAAAGGTGATAAACTCTATTTTAAGAAGACGGATAAAAATGGGGCCCCTTCTACAATCTACAATAAAACTTATTTTTTTTATAAAAGGTGATAAACTCTATTTTAACTCGATTTTGTAAGGTACATAGCCAGTGGCAAGGTTAAAAATTAGTGATATAGTAGGATTAAAGTTTACGAGGGTTCGGGGGCAGCGCCCCCGATTTTTTTACATGAAGTAGCACTAAAACAAGTGAATATATATATAAAAGTAAATAACTAATATATTACAAATTTAATAATTAGGGGTCCCTCATGATTAGAGGAATTCTAAAAACAAGTAAGAATAGTTGATAATAGCTATTTATGAATTAAAATTCTCAATAATTATATATATAATATATTTTTTTTCAATAAATATTCATATATAAAGGGTATAAAAAAATTCGGGGGCCCTAAATTTTTGAAAAAATCCGGGGGCCCTAGGCGACCGCCTACTTCGTCTCCCCTCAGAACCGGCCCTGGTTAGTAGCATGTTCGGTTTTTCAAATTAGATCTTCTATTAAATTTATTAAATTTAGTTATTATATACGAATTGTCTATAAAAACACTTAGTTTAAAATAATATGATATGATTTTAAGGATAAAATTGTCTTTTTCCTTTTTAATCATCCCTTATTAAATTAATCTCTAGGGGATGGTTGCTACTAATTTAATGCAATATTAGCATTTAATAGCGGATTTGATTTTAGCAGCGGGTTTGAAAAAATGTAGATCTTGTCAACCGGACATGTTATTAGCCCCTATTATTTAGTCAGTAGCACCTTATAGCAGTGATCGAACTAGCCTCTAATCTAATATTATTTTATTTTAGCATAAATTACAATCACCCTGAAGTATGTTAAATGACAAAAAAACATAATATTACAATTACCCATCAACTATGAATCTTTTTACACGTCCATTATGCTGTCAAATTTCAATATAATCTTCAAAATTCCATGAAATGTTCTATAAATTTGTACTTGTGTTGTGGAAAAATCACAGTTTCTAATGCGCTACAATTTGATATATACAAGCAAAAAAACATCCACACAAAAAAATCACAATTTGAATCTAGTTATTAGAAGTCAACTTCAAAACGAGAAAATAGAACATATTCGAATATGACTACTGTCGTATTCAACAATAGTTATATTCGAATATGACAATAGTCATGTTACTACTACTGTTCAGATTTGAAAATACAATTTTCAGATCTAAAAAAAAAGAAAAAATAAGGAGAAATCGAAAAATACATAAATATGATATAGTCATATTCGAATATGACAATATTAATGTTACTACTGCTGTTCAGATCTGGAAAAAAAAATCGAAAAATACATAAATAAAGATAGAAAAATAACGAGAGAGAGGGATGGGAGTTGACGAGGTCTTCATACACAAAATCACCCTGGCATATCTTCACCCCAAACGACCCTCCATACTTCAACAGAATCATCAAGGTTGACGACATGATGTGCAGCACTACAAAAAAACATGAGAATGTGACTACTATGTGAATAATTCTGCTGAATGAATCTGCACTATTCTTTAAATGCAATTCATATAATATTATGTGTATTCAATTCAGCCACAACAAACACATTGAAACTTACACTAACATATCAAGTAACGCAAAAAAAAAATTGCAATGCAATAAGATCACAATTTGAATCATGTTATTACAAGTCAACATGAAACGATAAAATGAAACATATTCGAATATGACTACAATCATATTCAACAATAGTCATATTCGAATATGACTATAGTCATATTACTGCTGCTGTTCAAATATGAAACTGTAATACATATCTGAAAAATAAAAATAAAAAAATACATAAATAAAACACACACACACAAAACAATATTTCACACATACACATATACAAAACACACACATACATATATATTTCACACACACACTGAGACCCACATACAAAGTTAAGAAGAAACAGTTTCACACATCACTACAACAAAATAGTGATATTAGGACACTTTGTTTGGGACATTTTAGTAAAAACGTCTGAAAAACAGCATAATAGGACATTATCTAATTTATATCCCAATAGCAAAACTTATTGGGACATTTAAAACAAACAATATTATTTATTAATTAATAAAAATAAAAAGTTGAAATTTTGCCTCTTGACGTTCGACTTTCTTCCTAATTTTCATTTTGCCCACTCCCAATACTTCACTCTCCATCTTTTCCCCATATTTCTCCCGATTCTTCTTCCCTCGCGTACTCTTCTCTTTCGTTTTAGAATCAACATCTTTCTCCCCATCAATATCAAAGGTATGAATTTTTTCCCCCATTTTGCCTCTTTTATTCTTTCACTTTTCCAATTTTTTTTTATTTTCGAAGCCCTAATTTGTGTTTCCGGTTCATTGGCCTGAAAAGGGTCACATTTAATCATATGCGCTAGCGCTATTAGCGAGCGTCGGTCTTCGGCTCATGGACGGGCGTTTTCGAGTCCGGATGGTGCCATCACTTGCTCGGACGCCAACACACTTTCTCGAATCAGGTATTTAGGATTGTAAAAAAATTGATAAACGGAAATATTATCTGGTATTTCAGAGTGTTCCTGATTTCAGGGAATTGAAGTTTGGGAATGGGAATGAAAATTAGAAACAGAGGGCTTGAATAAGAATCTTATAAATTTTTGAGTCGCTTGTGCTCACAAGTTATCTGGATTTACTATTAACTTTGTCTTCTGCTATTTTGAATTGTGCATTGATTGTTTAATTTGTATGAGAAATTATTGTAATGTTCACTACATGATGACGATGTTGGAAACTCCCTGAAGGAAGTTTTCGTATCGTTTGGTACAAGGAGTGATTTGTTACAGGTCCCCTGTTATTGTATGAAATATCCTCTAGAGATGAATCCCCTTATGGTTCTCTATGTTTCCTTTCTCTTTATCTTCTCTAGGAAATCGTATATATGAATGCTACATGTGCGTTGTCGCATGTGAAATTGGAGTCCTTTACTTGCGCACTAAACTAAGCCAGAGCTTCCTAGTTTGATATAAGCCTTCCTCGAGCTACATTCAACAACTTTGATCTTTTTTTTTCGTCTCATAAATCACAGTACTGATATAAGAATCGGAATCTTGAACGTGGAGAATTAACCTTCCACAAGCTTTCAGTGAAAAATCTTAAGAGAGGTCAAATCCTTTTATTGTGTTTAGAATAGTTCTTCTTTAATCCTTTTTCTTATGATAATATTATTGTGTTTAGGATATTCATAAGGGAGAATTACCAGCAGAACATTGGAACATAACACAGCAAATAGATGCCTTTCTAATACTTGCAACTAGTATGTAATAATAAGTACTTGCAAATTTAGCATTTAAGAATTTGGTTAAATAGTTTAAAATTTAGTTTTTACATCGTAATATCATTCTTTTTCAGCTTTCAGTGAAGAGTGTACTTAATTGAAGGAGTCAAATGGAGGGAAGAAACAAAGAGTGTTGATTCATTTGTCTGGGAAAAAGACAGAAACTGTGGTATTGTTCTTTTCTCTTCAAATGTTTTTCTGCATTGTTTTTTTAATCATAGTGTATATTTTATTCTCTATATATTGTGTGTATGGTTGTATGCAGGTACTGGAATTAACTATCGTATAAACAATCTACAAATGTCTTTTTACTGAGTTTCCTTATTTCCCATCTTTTATGCATTGAATTATTCTTCCTATATGTAGAGATCAAATCTTTTCCTGCTCCTGAAGATTTTTAATTAGTGTTGGCATCATATTATGGACATGATTGAGAAATATGATATTGAAGGCATGTCATACTCATAACAAGAAAAATATTGTCGGGCGGCAAAATATGCAAGGTAATTAATCACATGTTCTATTAAGTCAATTTCTTTCGAAATATTTCAGTCTTTTAGGTTTTTTAGTACAGTTTTATGCTCTAGTTAAAGATTTGTGTGATGTTCTAACATGTGTTCAAAGATGGATATGGAGAAAAGCTAAACTCACAGGGGAAAGAGCAAAACCTCAAAGAATGAAACAAGTTATCCTAGGACTCTTGTATAAGTTGTGGGTTACATAGCTCAGGTATGTGTTTGCCATTGAAATCTAGCTTACGTATTGTTTTACGTTATTTACTTTGTTGGTTAAGTTTTCATTTCAAATATTGTTTATTGTACACAGAGAAAGTAGGAAAGTATCAAGTCATGAAGCCATGAGAATGAAACCAACTGATTCAGGAAAATACGAAGTCATAAAGCAAGTTACAGATTGGTTGGGCACATATTGGTTCATTATTCCAATTGCTAGAAAAGGACATTGTGTTAGTAGTATCCAAATACTATGGATATTAGATGACATTTCTTTTTTAAATCGCATGGAACTACCGTTGTTGGCTTAATTTGTTCAATTAAATTTGGATTTTACTTGATTTATTCAAGAATTTTTTGTAATTTATTTATTTTATTAAATTGTATGCCTTGTCATTGTATGATTATTTTGATATCAATACTTACTAATATTTATCTACAAGAGCTTAAAACAATTTAATTGTCGTAATTTTCAATTTTTTGGAATACTATTAACTGCATTGGATAAAATTTGTGATACATATAAGTGTCTCTAAAATGTTTATATTACTATTTTCAAGTCTCCTACAGTAATTTAATTTTCCTGTTTGGTTTAAAGGTAAAATACTGTGTAAAGTAATTGGGAGAAAAAGAGGAAAACTTTTTTAGCTAAAAATCAGGAAAAACCATTTTCCCCCAAAAAAATGAGGAAAGCTGGGGAAAAGAAACAATCGGACCTCATCTTATTTTCTACATTACTTTTTGTTCAACTCTTCGCCATCGTTTACGCGCCGCCACTTCTACCACCATCACCACCACCATCGATTTTCCAACATCGTCAACAGCTCAGCCTTCCACCACCTCCTCGCCGGAGATCCGGCGACCATCTCCAACACCACACATCCCAGCACCCAAATATCTACCAGAAGACCATGTTTGCTGCCGCATCCACCACCATCAATCTTCCGCCGCCGACCTCCGTTGCCACTCCGAATTCCGCCGCCGCCGCCTCTCCACGCTGACCTTCACCGCCGACTCAACAGCACCGACCTCCACCGCCGACTCAACTCCGACCTTCGCCGCCACAACACCTGCAATCACTACAGCCGACTCAACGCCGACCTCCGCCGACACAACACCTGCAGTCACTGCCGCCGGCGACCTCTCCACCACCGCCAACCAACCTCTTTTCATCGCTTGAGCATTTCCGATCGGCCATGTTTATTGAGCTCTCTTCTCCCCCTTTTCTCCCCTCTCTCCTCCCTCTCTTCTCCTTCCTTCTCTCTCCTCTCTCTCTCTCTGAAGTCTTCTCTCTCCCCCCTCTCTCTCTGAAGTCTTCTCTCTCCCTCCTCTCTCTCTCTCCTTCCTAATGTCTTCTCTCTCCTCCTGTCAAATCTTCTCTCTCTACCCTCTCTTCTCTCTCCAATTTGATAGAAGATAATTTGATTAGGTGGTAGGGTGGTGTGAGGTGATCTGCATATTGGAGATTATTTTCATTTTTTATTATTTAATTTAGTTTTGAATAATAATTTAATGTCATTTTAAAGCTTACTCATTCTTTTTCTGGAAACAAACAAAACAAAGGAAAGTAATTTTCTACATATTCATTTTCATCGCTATTTTTCTTAGGAACCAATCACAATAAGAATTTCAAAAGTTCTTGATTTCATTTTCCTTTGCATTTTCATTTTCTTTATTTTGAAATCCATGAACCAATCAGAACCTTAGTTTTGTCCCAGTTTATGTAGTGATAGTTCTAGATGTCCCAATATTTTCTTTACAGGACACTTAGTTGTGTCCAAAATCCTATATTGATACTTCTAAATGTCCCAATATATTCTTTATAGGACACTTATAATTGTCTTCAAATCATGTCACGACGTTTTTCAGTGTCCCGATAAACCACTATATCGAGACACTTTAAGTGTCCCAAACTTTATGCGACACACATACATGCGACACTTGAAGTAAGTGTCTCTTTAATTCCAAATGTCCCAATATGTACGTTCTTGGGACACTTAACCGTGTCCTAATAGGGACTTTTTGTTGTAGTGCATACACATACAAAACACACACACACAGATACAAAACACACACAGACACAGATACATTTCACACACACATAGAGACCCACATAGGGGTGAGCAAGTCGGACCCATCAACCCGCTACACCCGTCAAACCCGTGAAAAACCGCCCCGTTGGGACCGGACGGATAGATCCATCCATAGGATTGGGTCCTAAAATGGTGAAGAACCGTGGGTTCGGGTCTTAGACGGGTTCCATTTTTTTTAATACCCGTGAAACCCGTCCCGCCCCGCCATACAAAACGACGTCGTTTTGTTTACATTATATAGTATAATAAATTAATAATATTAATGAATAAATAAAGTATCTCTAGTGTATCAAATACATAAATCAACTAAACTATAATTGTGGAAGTAATAGCTATAAATATTATGAAAATCTCTAAGAAAATGTAGGAAAAAAAGCATATATATACAACGGTCAACACACGGCAAAAAAAAAAAAAGGAAGAAAATGGTGTTGAATGGAGCTGAATAGCGTTGGTTATGCTTGAAAAAACTATATTTATTTTATTTAAATTTTGTCTTTTAAGTTATGAATTAGTTATTTTTAGTTTTATATTAATTTTTATTTACTCTTGACATTTACATTATTTATGTTTGGTTTCAATTTAAAATTTTAGGTTATTCATTTTAGTTTCTAATTATTCTCCCGTAAAACTTATAAATTATATATAAAAAAAAATAGTTTAGACGATAACGGGTTTCGACCCGTAAAGGTTGGGTCCTACTACAAACCCGCCATGAACCCGTCTATCGTAAACCCGTTAAAAACCCACAAGTTTGGTTCTTCAAAATCAAGAACCGTTGTTTGACGGGACGAGGGCGGGTTTTGATAGAACCCGCGGGTTTATGGCCCGCGCACACCCCTAGACCCACATACAAAGTTAAGAAGAAACAGTTTCACACATACACATATACAAAACACACACACACACACACAAATACAAAACACACACACACAGATACAAAACACACACACAGAGATACATTTCACACATACTCTTTAGTCGCAATATTTCACACACACATACAAAACACACCCACAGACCCACATATCCATACATATACGACAACATGAGTTTTTGGGGAGGTTTGACGGCAGAACCCTAGGCGGCGGCTGTGATCGGTGGTTGGGTGAGTGGATAATGGCGATGGTATGAAAAGAAGGGAGGAGGGCGACGATGCTGGTGGAAATCTCAAAGGAGAACGACGACACTGGTATAAATCTCGATGGATAGAGGCGGCGGTTGTGCTCTGCAAAGAAAAAAAAAAGAAGAAGAAGAAAGAGAACAGAGAGAGTAAACGTGAGAGAGAGTGTGTGTGAACGTGAGAGTGATACATACAAAGAATGAGGAATAAAATTAAAACCCTAACACATATGGGTATTTTAGTCTTATCATATCTGATAAGGAGAGTCTCACTAATTTAAATTGAGATTTGGGTTATGAAAAAAGTTTTTAAAGTCAATTAGGTTTAAATCAAAATATTTTCCAAATGAGGGGTATTGCATATTTCCCCATAATATTAATTTCTACGTACTCTCCATCATCACTTTGCTCTGAAGATTTTCTTTAATATAATTCATCTTCAATTTTCTCTCTCTAAAAAACTTGCTCCGATCTTTGAAAATGGCATATCCCGTAAACACCTGCAACAAATCATTGATCATGCTTATGCGCGAGACAAAAACAATCCCACGCGCCGCCACCTCCTCGCCGCCGTCGTCCCCCCATGTTTTCACCGTCAACATCAGACTCACATTCGAATGCGTTCGCAGCGATTGGATTGCACGCCCCAATACCTCCGTGCAAGAGTTTGTCCAGCAAGTCGAGAGTGAACTGAAGCGTTACTCAATCTCCTTCGATTACCTCCAATTCTTGAGGCCAGAAAGATTACGTCACACCATCGCCGGCGGAATCGCAGATTGGCCACTGAGTCCCCCGGAGATTCACGAGTTGGTCGGAATCGCTGTTTCTAGAGCAGCGGTTGTCGTCGGATCCATCTCCCCACGCGATACTGACCGCGTTTGCGTCAACTTCCGTGTGGTCGAGAACCACATGCACTCTTCCGGCGAAGCCCCGCCGCCGGAGAATTTTCCTTGTCCCCGCTCTGCTGTTAGGTTCTACGATGTCAGTCAATATTGACCGGTGTCGGCGAGTTTGATTTCTTGTCTTCCAAGATTCATTCTCGATTTACTTTGATTTTCTCTCTCTTAAGTTTTTTTTTTCTTTAATGATTTTTTGATTAGATATATTTGATTCCAAATTAGTTCTTAATGAATTTTCTTGGATTTCATTGGAACCAATTATTAGGTATTGTGATTGATCAATTGAATTTCAATATATATACATGCAAGTTTATGGTGATGTTTATTAATTTCTTCAATTTGCGTTCATGCATGTATAAATTTGATCACGTTAAATTAATACGAACTTGTCCATTACTAAATCGTTATTGTTGAAATTGTATTGACAAATCGTTTTAATTTGATCGAGCCAATTTCGTCGAATTAAGAAGTTCAATTTACAACTCAATTAAAAAAAATTACGTATTCCTATGTTCATCAACTTCATCTTCTTCTTGAAATCTTTCGATTTGAAATACTATGTTTCATGCGACAAATCATCGTACTTAGTTAGTTATGGACGGTCCCGACAAAAACCCACACACGTTCACGATGAGAAACCTCGGCTGCCGCCACCTCAGCTCGCCTCCTCATCGTCGCAAATCCTCGCAGCCAACTTGTAATTCTCTTTCAAATCCATTTTTCACGACTCCATTACGCGCTAGCTAGGGTACTTCGTATATATGCACAGTTTCTCCGAAACAATAACAGCAATAAGAATCTAACATCCCTTATGCTTATATTCCCCAGAATATATTCCTCGTCGCTCCATCGATATAACCGAGAGGCCACCGATTTGTTTGTCTTTCATTTTCGCGAATGCACGCTTCTAGAATCAATCTTCCCAAATTAATTAAAAATAAGATCCTACTCTTTTCTCAAATTAATTAAAATTAAAATCAACTTTTAATAATTATTTGCTTGAACTTGTCTTTTTACTTCACTTCTTTTTTATTTTTTTGGATAAAATAAATAAATTGTAAGAAATTATTATATTAACTATTTATAATTAGAAATTTGTTACTCATTTAAATTGAGTTAAAAAAATTGTAAGTAAATATTCTATTAACTATTTATGATTAGAAATTTGTTATGCTCATTTAAGTTGACTTTATTAACTGGTAGAAAAACCTTAATCTTGATATTATATACTATACAGCAAAATCACAAATACTATCTTGAATTCTTGTTGCAGCTTTATCAGTTATTATAACTAAATTCACCAACTGAACAATTAATAAAAAAAAAAATAATAAAAAAAAAAATCGTATATATATATATATATATATATATATATATATTAATTTCTACGTATAAAAAAAAAAAAAAAAATTCTACGTACTCTCCTATATCATCACTTTGCTCTGAAAATTTTCTTTAATTCATTTCTCTTTCTCTCTCTAGAACTTCCTCCAACCTTTGAAAATGGCATATCCCTCCTGCAGCAAATCATTGATCTTAGTTATGGTGGAGACCCATAAAACCCCACGCGCCGCCTCCTTCTCAATCTCGCGGCCGTGGTCCCATGTTCTCACCGTCAACATCAAACTCACTTTCAAAGCCATTTACTGCGACTGGGTTATGTACCCCGACCCCCAGTTTGTCCGGCGATTCGACGGTGAACCGAAGCAGAACTCAATCTCCTTCGATCACCGCCAATTCTTGACTACAGAAAGACTACGCGACACCATCGCCGGCGAAATCGCAGATTGGCCACTGAGTCCCGAGGAGCGGCACGAGTTGGCCGGAATCGCAGTTTCCAAAGCAGCAGTTGTCGTCCGACCCATCTCCCCAATCGATACTGAGCATGTTTACGTCAGCTTCCGTGTGATCGAGAAACACAGGCACTCTTCCGGCAATGTACCGCCGCCGGCGACGGTGCTGCTGGGTGCCGCTGAGACCCAGAATTTTCCTTGTCCCCGCTCTTCAGTTAAGTTCTTAGATATCAATGTTTGACCGGCGCCGGCGAGTTTGATCTAATTGTTTTTTAATTTTTTTTTTCTTCTTCTCAAACATTAAAATGTAGATTGTCGTATTCCTGGAAATTAATATACAAATTTCAGCTTTTTTCCATTTTGTTTTCTTTCTTTAA